ATATGTATGTATATATTGCCTGAATCCATTTATATGAAGTACCTAATACCCGCAAACTCATAGAAGCAAAGCATTGAATTGTGGTTTAACAGAGGCTGGGAGGAAGTAGTAGGGAGTTGCTAATCAATGCACATAAAACTTCAATTGTGTAAGATAAATCAGCTCTAGAGATATGCTACACAACATTGTGCTTACAGATAACAATGGTGTATTTATTGTACCTTTGAAAATCTGTTAGAGGGTATATTTTATGTTAAGTGTTCTCAGCACAATAATTTTTTAAGTGTATCAAAAAAAGAGTTTGGAATTCAACATTAAGCATGAGAAAGAAAAGAGTTAAATATGAACAAGGAGATGCCTTCATATAAATTACATACCATAATTTTCTTCTGCCTAAGGATTTAGCTTCTATAACAATTTTCCTTACTTAGCATGCTAATAATAGTAATATTGTATTAGTGATGAACAGCATAGCAGACTGCCCGGGGCTAGTTGCTAAGCAATGTCTAAAGTTGTCATTGGCAAGGGCAGGTCTTTTTCTGGAAGCAACAGAAAAAACAAGGCGAATTCAAGAGCAGATATGCCAAGATGGTTGCAGATTTTGTTGATGGAGGTGTTCCCCTAATGAATCAGGAAAGCCTGATGAGGTAGATCTCCGTATTAATGACAAGGTGGGCCACTCCTGGTCTGGCACTGGTAGATGGTTTTAGCTAAAAAGAAAAGAGAATCTGGCAGAGAATATGCAAGATATACTCATGACCCAACCTATTTGCAAATGACACTGTGAATGTTAGTGTACTGAAGTTCTTTGGCTGAAGAGATAGATACTTTTATCAAAGATAAAAAAATGTTAAGATTATTACAGGTCAGGTCAGAATTTTCCAGACACAAAGATGAGTCAACTGAAAATGGCAGTGCAACACCCATGAAAACAATTGTGTTTGGGGCACCTAGGTGGCTCAGTTGGTTGGGTGTCCCACTTGGCTCCAGCTGTCATCTCACAGTTCGTGGGTTTGAGCCCTGCATGGGGCTCTGTGCTGACAGCTCAGAGCCTGAAGCCGGCTTCAGATTCTGTGTCTCCCTTTCTCTCTGCCCTTCCCCTGCTTGCGCTCTGTCTCTCTCTCCCAAAAATAAATAATAAAAAATATCTAAAAAAGAAAAGAAAAGAATTGTCTTTGTGAAAGTCTGGCAGCATAGCACTTAAATGGCTGAGGAAGGATGGAGTTTTGAAAATTACTTTGAGAAGCACTAATAAGGTTTAAGCAGAATTGAAAACAATTAAATTTTAATTGAATTCTGAGAGTTAGCTTCTGGAAACAAAAGCCAAATAGTCCATTCACAGGCTTTTATGCAACTAAAATAAGATAAGAAAGAAGAAAATGTTATTAAGCAAACATGAGAAACAATGACAAAATGCTGTAAAATTTGTAAAAAGGAGCATTGACAATATAGAACATAAAATCAAAAATTTGAAAGATAAACTTAAGGAATTCTTTACAAATGCCAAGGAAACAGGAACAAAATCTGAGAGAGAACATGATATATGAGAAGACTGATATTCTTTTAAAAAGGAGAAAAATAAATGAAAGGGAATATATAGAGAGAAAAACAGAAAAATTGAGATGACAGAACTCTTGTTAAAGATAGTGGTTAATTCTATCTAAACCCATCTGGAATATTCAAAATATTTGATCTCTACTCTTTGCAGTAGTTATCTATTGCTGTGAAACAAATTTCCCCAAACCTGGGCACCTCGGTGGCTTGGTTGATTGAGTGTCCGACTCTTGATTTCTGCTCAGGTCATAGTCTCACTGTGAAATCTAGCCCTATGTCAGGCTCTGCACTGACAGTGTGAAGCCTGCTTGGGATACTTTCTCTCCCTCTCTCTCTCTCTCTCTGCCTCCCTGTCTCTCTCTCACAATAAATAAGAAACATAAAAAAAATTCCCCAAACCATAGCAACTTAAAAGAACATATATTTATTTTCTCATAGTTTCTGTTTTGTAGAATCTGGGCTCATCTGAGCTGAGTCTTCTGCATCTGTGTTTTTCATCAGGTAGGCAGTTGAGCTCCAACTGGGGTAGGAGCCACTCCCAAGTTCATTCAGTGGTTATTGGCAGAATTAGCCCCTCAATTGTCTTTGGACTGACCGGCACAGTTCCCCACTGGCTGTCATTCAGAAGTCACCTTCAAGTCTCTACTGTATAGATGTCATTATCACTCACTTAAATAATAATATTTCCATAATTTCTGATAGCAGCTAAAACTTGCTTTCTTTTTCACCCACACTTCACACACAACTTTGTCATTTCATGCATAGTTAAAAGCATTTTCAAAACTCATAAAAAGCAATAACTTGGTGAGGTGCTAAGGAGTATTTAGAGAGACCATATGGTATACCAGTCATAGAGTACCTGAAAAAGACCATAATTCAATCTATCATTTTAAAGAAGAGAAAGTAAAAATAACTAATTATAAAAACAGGTTTGGGAGCATACTCGAGGTGGTTAAATGTCATATCGAGGAATTCTCTTAAGGTTCATAAATGGCATATCTAATTTGGAAAATAGGACTGTGAAATCAAAGTCTTTGCTTTAAACTGTCGAAATTGCTCTACAGTTCCATGCAGCAGGAAACTCTGCAGGGCTTGGGTCAAAGTCTTAGGATAAAAGAATCATTTTACTGTCATTGCCCTCCAGATATCTGTCTTCGTAAGGAGCTGTGAGGCCTCCATGCCAGACACGTACTGCCACCATTTCAGGATTTACAGTAAAGTTCAGATGCCTCTTCTTGAGAGCCTATGTTTTATTTTTAGCTTGGGTCATGTGGTAGCTAGTTGGAGATTCATAAGTTAAAGATTTCTATTGTATCAATATTAAAAAGAATGAGATAGGGACAGGAATTAATACAAAAACCAAAACAAACATACAAACAAAGAAATAAAGCAAACAAACAATGCAGGAAAGATCTATAGGCTTGTCATAAGTGAGATTTTGGCCCTATGGAAAACAGGGATTTCTTTCTTAGGGCAAGGTTTTCTGAAACTTCACCCTAGATAAAGCTATACTTTTTAATATGTTCTTGAGTATACTCCCACATGGAAAGAACGGCTGCTATACTAGGAGTGAGTTGACAGATGGATTCTGGGTTTGCTGGGGATTGAGCTTCACTTTTGAGGCCAGAATGAGCTTATATAGAAACTCACACTGCAAGAGGAAATGAACTTCTGGTGGGTAAAGTCCCCCATGGAAAGGAAGATGTATGGGACCAGGTCCATGGTGGAAGTTGGTAAAACAGGCCAAGTGTAACAAACAAACAAATGAACATAGTGGTGAAGATGAAGTGGCCCTAATTGCCCACATGGAAAGCATGTGTCCCAATAATGGTAGCAGCTACTTTATTAGGTAGGATGACTTTTGTAGCAAATAAGAAAATCCGAGGAGGGGAGGGTGCCTGGGTGGCTCAGTCGGTTAAGCCATCTGATCCTTGATTTCAGCTCAGGTCATGATTTTACAGTTCATGAGATCGAACCCCACATCAGGGTCTGTGTTGGGCATGGAGCCTGCTTAAGATTCTCTCTCCCCCTCTCTCCTTCTGCCCTTCCCCTGTTCACATGCACATGCTTTGTCTCTAAAAAAGAAAAGAAAAGAAAAAGAAAAGGAAAGGAAAGGAAAGAAAAGAAAACCCAACTTGAAATGGCTTACACAGTAAGAAAATTTTATTGATCACATAACAGGAAATCCCAACAAAGTATAGGACAACTTTAGCAGTTATTAATCTACCAGCTCAATGACCTTATTAAGAGACCAGGTTTTATTCTTTTTATCTTTCTGCTCTATCCAATTGAGTGTAACAACCTAGCGCTAGGAATCACAACAAGGTTGCAACAATACCATATAGGCTATCCAAATGCCAACATCCAGAAGAAGCGACAAGGATATCTTTTGTAGATATTTCCTAGCATATCTTTCCTCTTGTCTCATTGGCCAAAAAAAAAAAAAAAAAAAGTGAAGTCATACACTTACTAAATCAAGCACTAGTAAAGGAAATAAGATTATTACAATTGTTTTAGAGTAATAGAGATTTATTCTGGAGATGGAGTCGGGATTGCCTTTTCTAAAATATGGATAGCCGAATAAAATTGGAGTTCTGAGCGCAAGGAAGAAGGTTATTTGGTAGGCAACCAGTAATGTTTATTCCAACACCAGTCAACTAAGCTAGTGGTTGCTATAGACAATGTGATTCCAGAACCGCCAAATCATTTGATTACTTTTAAAAAGCTGGAACTCGATGTTTACATAAGATCTCCCAATTTTTAAATATTGGCAATGAATTTGAAACATTTTAAGACACTTTATGACCAAAATCATTCCAGCCAAATAAAGTAAATCTGTAGCCCAGAGATGTCCTGCAAACTACCAGTTTATAACTTCTGGTTTATGTTATACATTTATGTAACTAAAACTTTCTCTACATAGAAAGTAAAGTTGCCATTAACTGAATTATATAAATTTCTGTGAAAATTTTAATTAATGCAGTTTTATTCACTTGCAGTAAACCTCAAATGACGTAGCTAATAAGGATTGCAAAAGATGATGTAGGAAAAAGATGTTCTGTAAATCAGAGAATGTTTATATGTTTTTGTTGTTAGGGTTCTAATGTGACAGGTTAATTGTTAAAACAATCAAGATGTTGCTAGTTATCTAATGAATAACATCTAATGAATTGAATATACAGTTTTCTTCCATCCCTCTCAGTTTCCTGTAATTACTCAGAGTTTTTGTTTGTTCATTTGCTTGCTTTAATTAGAGGGTAAATTCCTTCTTACCAAATGAGAAAATCAAGATACTCAAAATATTTGAGGAACAATTATTAAGAAAAAGGGGGTGTCAAGGAAAGTCACCTAATTAGACATTTTAGATTCATAGCTTTTTTAGTGTCTTCTTTCCCATAAGTGTGGAGGCTAGAAATCTGAAAGTCATACAAAGATTCTCAAGAGTATGTCTCTCTTGAAAATTTTTGTTTAATCTCAAAGTATAACACGAGTCAAGAAATGTTAACACCCTTGGGTATCAAGAGCAAATAATAGGTAAGAATATTTAGTAAGAAGTAAGTACACTTCTCTTCCATCCAGATTTTCCAGTCTTCCAAGCTAATCATTACCCACCAATCCTGCTTAGTTGCTGCTTCAGACTTTTGGATTGGAACCCTGAAAAAGACAAGTTCTTAAATGACCAACTCATTCTAAAAATTTAGATATTATGTAACCTTTGAACTTTTAAGAAATTAAAATAAATTCTGTGTAGTCACACTTTCTATTTTATAGATTATTTGATAATCACAGTGAAGGGATGGAAACATGGAAAGGTAGGGAAAGAAAGTGAGAAAAACCTCACACTGGGATCCAAATATCCATCTGACTAATTGGTGTAATGTGGAGGAAGTGAGGAATCAATAGAACATTTATGAGACATTGGGTGATTATTCTATGAGAAATGTCCTCTATCTCACTTCCATGGGATATATTTCTGAGAAAATGATGAATATTGGGATCATCATCACCTTCCAGCTAAAATTCTTCCATCTTCCTCGTGGGTTTGACCAAACTTAGAAGAAAGACATCTTAGCTCCTTTCCCATAGTCATATGGACACTGTTCTTAGTGAAAATCTTCCAGGAAGACATGGTTAGAACTTCTCTCCTTCATAGTAGGAGTGTGACAAGATTACAATAGTTTGGCTATTGACCTCTTACCTTAGGTGTTGACATTGTTTTATCCTTAAAAACAGTAGAGGGAAGCACTTTTGTGGCATGCTATATTAGGGACAAAAATAATAGTAGGCCATTAGAAATGCTATGCATTTCCAATCCATGGTATATTTATTTCCTAATTTAAATCATGCCTTACTTCCCCATCACTCATTTAAATTCTACCCAACTCTTAGGGTCTAGTTCAAATTCTAACCACCTAGTCAATGGATCTTTCTCTTGACTTAATCAGACCCCATTCATTTCCCTTTTCGCCACATTTTCTCATAAGTATGACTTGCTTTGGTGCAAAAAATATGTGAGGAATTAAGTGCTTTATATGGATATGACTAGTTTTCACACTAAGCATGTAAACATTTTTGAAAAACATTTTAGTTCTTTCTCATTTACCCACAGCAGAGTACTAAGTACAAAGAAACAATGTGTTCAGTAATGACTCAAGTGAATGAATTCTACTTTTTACTTTATAGTGTCTGACTTTTATTGCAAGTTTGCCTACATATGGTCTGTTTCTTAATATCCTACCTTCTATAGATGATTGTGGCTAATATAGGCCTTATTCTATCTATATATATTAAAAAGTAAAATATAATTTATAATAAGATTTTATATTCTCCAAAATAAGCATCTAGAAACTATGCTTTGAGGAGACTGTTTACCTCCTATAGCTTTTATAGGAGGTAGATAGAACTTTTATCACTTCTTGATGATTATATAACAGTAGAACTATTTTTAACAATAAAAATTAATACCCATACTAATTTATAGATAGTAAGTAGGTCTTACTTTCTCGGTTATACCTAGGTGCTACAATACCTCAGGTTGACCTAGGGAGCACATATGTTGAGAAGATTCTATAGATTTGGAGACACTGTTCACATGAGCACAGAAGACATTTAAGGAATCATTAGTGACTGAGTGATACTTACAAGGAAAGAGGAAGATGTCACAGTTGTAGGTATCGGTGGCGGTGGAAAATCTGGCTTTGTAATTAGCTAGTGAAAAGGTAAAAAAAAAATTAATTCAAAGATGGGGCCTTGAAAATAAATGTGCTTGATGGGAAGGCTTAAATCATTTTTAGAAATGGGGAACTCATGATCCTGCTCATGAAAATAGCCTAAACCTGTACGTTCAAGTGCTTACATCTAGGTACACATATGCGGTTCAGTATGTGCTCAGTGCCAGTAGACAGATGATGATGGCACACTAGGAAGCAGATTTCTACTCTTCTTGTAATATGTTACCAACCTTTCAGACCACTGTAATTCAGATTTAGAGGTTAAATGTAGGAATATAATGGAGAAGCCCACCTTCTCATTTTTTTGCATTTTCAAAGAGTTTTGCAGGAAAATCTATATTTTATATTAATAGTCACACAGATTTTAACGTTCTTCTAAGGAAATAATTGGGTATTGTAGGTTATGTCTCTTGCGAGTATTTCCTTGAGATTAGATTGGAAGTGATATTTAAGAGAGGTTGCTAACTCACAAAAGAAGCTGGAGGCTCATTGCCCTCTAGTGGCAGATCAGGTGTATCGAGCTTCATCTGAGTCATCTAAAATAATAATAATAATAATATCTTGAAATGGTCAGTTTCCTAAGTTCAACTTCCAAATAAGCAGTCCTTTCAAGACATGGGAGATCAGAACTGAGATGACACAGAAAACCAGACAGGAAATCACAGTGGCCCAGCTGCTGCATTCTGCTATCACCAGAGCTATCACCATTCTCTTAGAAGCAGGTAAGTTTCCATCAAACATCACTGCCAATGGCATTGCTATTAACCAACCTCTGCTTGAATTTTAAACTTGCAGGACACAGCCATGGCTTTAATGGTTATACATATTTCATACACTGTCATACAAATATATATATCATTGTCTTTACTGGGACATTTGCAAAAGGAAAAAGAATCAACCTACAATTAATGGGAGAGAGAGAGAGAGAAGGAAATCTGGAGTCTACTCTCTTTTTCTCTTTATTTATTTGCATTTGTGAACTTCAGCCAGCAGCCTCTGCATTTTAGGAAAACTCTTCTGGATTTAAGACAAAAGCAAAGGAAAATTTTCTGAATTTGTAGTTACAGAACCCCAAATTCTTACTCCATACTAACTAGCAGACTGGATTTATGAAAATAGTGCTGAGTAGGAATGATAGATAGGTGGTCAGGACGAGACAGTGAGAGAATCATGAACTGGGGCCCAAGGCAAGCACATTATAAACTATGGTTCACCTCTTGGGGTTTTACAGCCTTCACCATCTGTGGGTTCCTCTTCTGTTTGCGTGGCTTGGTGCCAGTGGTAGATGGTGGCCTGTATGTGAAAACATAACATATAAATTGACTTAGCAGTTCCTTCACCATGATGAGGACATTCAAGAGGAGTTTGCCAATTTCCTTTGCTTGTTGTATCATCTTTGGTCATTGACTGGCCTTCCTTCTGCTCTCTAAGACATTCTTAAGGTTTCTTTGTTCTGGAATTCATAATCACCACCCCTAGTTTTCTTTGTGATTCTCTCCAGAGCCCTGATTCCTAATAATGATGGTGTTGAATCAACATTTATATAAATTGTGTCATTTAATTAATGACTTATTTCCTTCACTCAATTTTTAGGAAAACCCATTTATATGAATAAGTCAGTTTTTGTTTTTGTTTTTTTTTTTTAATGCTAGAAAGATACTATAGTGTCAAGACTATGTTTGAAAGACTAACCAATCTAGGGGCAAATCAAGATTCCACCAATTTACTTTGCAAGACTTTGAACATATTTGTTAACTTCCCTGAACCTTTGTTTCCACTTTAGAAAAAGTGTTCAGTGCCTGACTTTGCAAGGCTGTTTTAAGGATTAATATATGATACCTTTTCATCTATAAAATGCAACTAATAGTTACTACTTCACAACCCTCTCGTGAAGATTAGAGATAATGAATGCAAAAAGACTTAGCACAGCACTGGTCATAAGAGAGCAACCAATAAATGTTACATATTTTATTCTTATAATGGATATAAAATCCTTAATAATGAGAGTTATTATAACTCTTATTATTAACTATAAATACAGTGATAAACATAAAAAGACATCTCTTACTGTGAAGGATTTCCCAGTAAAATTGACACCCAGCATCTGTACTTATTTCACAGCATTTGAAGTAAACCACAATTAACGTTGAGAATTTGGGTCATATCCTTAAATTTAAAATAAATTAGAGGCCAAAAAGTCCCCAAAGCAAGAAAGAAGTCTACCTCTGGACTTTCTTCTGCTTTCGTCTGGTGCTTTGGTGCCAGATTACTATAGTAACCACCACAAATATGACAGCCACGGGGAACAGCACTCCGACCACAATGGAGAAGTCTGAGACAAAGAGAAGCAGAGCTGGTGAGGGCATGAGAAATTCACAAATATGCATCACTTTAGTCCTTATTTCTCTTCTTATCACAAATTCCATCTCCCCTCCCCCCCCCAGAAAACACACGTTCCCTGGAAAATCTCTCATAGTCAGTAAAATAAAAATGCATTTTGATCATGAGTGTAGTAATGTTATGCAGCTGGAGGAAGTAAAGGGGAAATCCATATTAAACATTGCATTTGAGGTAGGGCAAGCATCAGGCTCCTGAGAATTCTTAGAAGGAATGATTCTGTAACCAATGGAAAATGTAGGGTTGAGAGACCAGAGGGAATATGAAGGAAGAAGATGGAAGAAAAGGAGCGACACATTTTTCAAATTCGGCCTTGGAACCAAACCGAGAAAAAGAAATGGAAGCCTTGAGATCATATTCCTGTCAGGAGCAAAGGAAGAGTGACGACATGAAGACAAGAACTGAGAGTGACATAAGTGAGTGTCTGTTCGTCCTACTGATATTGACTCTGGAGCAGAATGATTCCGGACAGAAAAGAGATTATGTGACCTTGCGAACCACAGAATGGTTTGAACAAATTTCCTGGATCTATATGGTGTTTTCTCTTTTTAATTACTGATCTAAGTCATGAATGCAGCTTCAACCTTCTGCTACCACAAGCATTAATTTTTCGTACAATAATCTGAAACTTTAGAGACCAGGAGGTATAAGTTTGAGGAGCAATGCAAACAGCTACTGCTTTCTTATTAGAGATCAGCAAAGCAATAATAAAATTAATTTTTGCAGTAAAAATGCAAGAAAAATTCCCAAGTGTGAACACTCATACATGCAGACAGAGGCAAAGATATCAGAAGCAGAATTTTAAGTAAGATAATAACAAGCATCTAATATTCTCCACCTGGCAAAACAATGCCTATCAAAAAGTCCAAAGGAAATAAAATTTTGAAGGATTTCTGTTGAATATAGATATATTCTGTTGAATATTTATTACACATTTACAATTCAATGTTACATTAAAATTGTAACTATTTTCAGAAGACTTACATGGTATAAGAGGAAATAAAGAGGAAATTGACTCTTTCACAAACACCCCTAATTTGAAAGGACATGGTCTGCAAAGAAAGCTGAGGTATAAGACAGATGAGAAGGATCATAATAGGAAGTAGGTATGCATCTGAGGATGGAAATAATTGAAGAGAAAATACATTCTTCTGTTTCTGGAAATGGTGGTCTGAGAAATTCAGACTAACTCTCTCAGTAAGAGCAACTAAGTCATTTTTGCCAAAAACAAATGTTATCAAAGTTATGGCAATATTAAAAAAAAAAAATAGGGGAAGGGGCAACTGAGTGGCACAGTTGGTTAAGTGTCTGACTTTGGCTCAGGTCATGATCTCACGGATCGTGGGTTTGAGCCCCACGGTGGGCTCAGTGCTGACAGCTCAGAGCATAGAGCCTGCTTCAGATTCTGTGTCTCCCTCTCTCTCTGCCCCTCCCCTGCTCATACTCTGTCTCTCTCTGAAAAATAAACGTTAAAATTTTTAAATTAAAAAAATAGGGGAAAATGACCTTGGAAAGATTAGTGAGAGGGCAGGAACCCAGAAAGACAGAAAGGAAAATGACCCTGGTCTTGGAAGTTCAGAAATGAAGGAGGAAGGAATGAATGGTAAATTAACCAAGCATGAACCCTAATGTAAACTATGGCATTTGTGTCACAATTGTGTGTCACCAGTTGTGACAATGTACCACCCTGGTAGGGGATGTTGATAGTGAGGGAGGCTTTGTGTCAGGGAGGGGTGGAGAGCCAGAGAATACATGGGGATTTTCGGTACCTTCTGCTCAATTTTGCTGTGAACTCAAAGTGTTCCAAAAAGTAATGTCTATTTTTAAAAAATAAATAAATAACATGAATATTTTTATGACCACTAAAATAATATAAAATAAATATATAATCTCTAAATTAATAGAAAGAAAAATGAAATGATTAAAATCCTTAGTAAGTCCATAAAAAAAAAAACAAGGAAGGAGAGAAAAAGGAACATAGAACAGGCAAAACAATAAAAATCATATAATATGATTGTAGATTACACCCAAGTATATCAGTAATTATCTTTAATTTAAATGGACTAAGTACTCTGGTTTAAAAAATATATGATAAGACTAAAATGTGAAGAATATGTATATTTCCACATTTTTCAAAAATAAGAGATAGACTTAAAACACAAGGCTTCAGAAAGAATGAAAGTAAAAGTATGGGGAAAATGTTATACCAACGCAAAAGAGACCAACAGAAATTTCGTACAGCTATATTAGTCTTCAAGAACTATAGACTTTAGGGGTGCCTGGATGGCTCAGTCAGTTGAGCTTCCAACTTCAGCTCCAGGTCATGATCTCACGGTTCATGGGTTCGGGCCCTGCGTCTGGCTCTGTGCTGACAGCTCAGAGCCTGGAGGCTGCTTCAGATTCTGTGCCTCCCTTTCTCTCTGACCCTTCCTGCTCATTCTGTCTCTCTCTCTCTCTCTCTCGGAAATAAATAAAAAAACATTAAAATAATTTTTAAAAAAGAACACCTAGTGTTTTTACTTTTAAAGGACCACCTAGATCAAAATTATTTTAAAGACATCATAGTAAAAGAATGTCATACAAGTACAAGGATAAATAGGACCACCAGAAAAGAACAGATATCCCAGAAAGACACATATATGAACACTTGCTTTATTAGATCAGCGACACTATAGCTTTAGGGAAGGATGATCTATCATATGAATGATGATGTGACAATTGGGCATTAATCTGGGATAAAAATGAAATTAAACATTTGCATCAGACACAAAAGAATTTCAGGTAGATTAGAGACTTACATTTGAAAACAGAATGCAAAAATGCTTTTTAGAAGACAATATCCAGAATGAATTATGAATATATGTTCATAATTTCAGAGTAGGGAAAATTTCCTTAAAAAAAGACACACAAAGAAAAACGTAACAATCAAGAAAATGATGAAAAAATAGACTATATTGTAATTAAAAACTTCTGTTAATCACATAACACCACAAGGAGCATGAGAAAACTCAGAAGCAGGGAAGTTATTTTTAACATATATAACTGAAAACAGTTTGTATCAAAAATATAATATTAAAACATATACAAATTAATAAAAAGGTGAGGAGAGACAACGCACTAGAAATACAAACAAAAAGGCTTGAACAAATACTTCAAAGAAGATAAAATCCAAATGGCCAAAAGATAAGGAAATGTTCTATTATGCATATGAATAGTTATAGAAAGCAAAATTAAAAACCCAACATGCTGTCACTAACCCAGCAGAAGGGTTAAAATTTGCTGTCTGCCAATGGCAAATGGCTTAAAGGTTATGGAATAGGAATTTATACTCACTGCTGCTGGGAGTGTTAATTTGTACAACCACTCTGGAAGCAGTTTGGTATGATACAGTTAAGTTAAATAGATTCGAATGTGGGGCGCCTAGGTGGCTCAGCCAGTTAAGCTTCCGACCTTGGATTTCAGCTCAGGTCATCATCTCAAGGTTCATGAGTTCAAGCTCCCCTTGGGCTCTGTGCTGACAGTGCAGAGCCTCCTTGTGATTCTCTGTTTCTCTCTCCCTTCCCTTCTCCCACTCATTCTCACTCAAAAATAAATAAGCATTTTTAAAACTGGATTTGAATGATAAAATTTATGGAAATTTTTTCTTAACATAGCCTTGAAGTATTCATAAAAACAATAAAAAAGGAAATTGTCATATATATGTATATATGTATATGTATATAATGTTATATCAATTACATATATTACACCAATATATGACAAAATTGTGATATTATGCACAATAGCAAAAATAAACTAATTCCAGTTACACATAAGAATATGGATGATTTTGAAAACATAATACACAGGAAAGGGTTAACCTTTAGAGGGAGAGAGGACATTAGGACAGGTATGGGGCCAAGGGAGATGCTGGGCTGCTGGCAATTCTCCATTCCTTGGCCCAGACTGTCTGGGCCATATCTATTTATGTGTTTTTTGTATACATTTTACTAAGAAAGTGGCTTAATTATGTAAGCTTGAAAGCCCATGGTTATGTATGGTCATATTATAGAGCAGGGATCTTAACCTTTTATGTATCACAGATCATTTTGGAAATCTGATAAAACCTATAATTCCTTTCTTTGAATGTTTTTAAATTCATTAATAAAGTGCATAGGACTAAAAAGGAAGCCAATAATATTAGAATACAGCTATCAAAATATTATAAAACAATTTGTGATCTAGTTAAATATTTTCTTCTTTTTTAAGACCTAAATTATAAGATCTATTGGTAGATTAAAAACCACCATAATTTCAAATTAGAGGTACATACATGTGATATTTAAAAATTTATGTAGCTGTCAGCCCTTAACAGGTACAAAAAGATTGAGACCATACCATGCATATTTTCAGACCACAACACTATGAAACTTGAAATTAATCACAAGAAAAACTTTGGAAAGCCCTCAAATACTTGGAGGTTAAAGAATATCTTACTAAAGAATTAATGGGTTAACCAAGAGAAATTAAAGAAGAAATAAAAAATACATAGAAACAAATGAAAATGAAAACATGACAGTGCAAATTCTTTGGGATGCAGCAAAGACAATCCTAACAGGAAAATACATTACAATTCAGGCCTATCTCAAGAAGCAAAAAAGTTCCCAAATATACAATCTAACTTTACATCCAAAGGAGATAGAAAAGGAACAGCAAATAAAGACTAAAGTCAGCAGAAAAAGGGGAATAATAAAGATTAGAGCAGAAATAAATGGTATAAAAACAAACAAATGAACAAACAAAATACAGTAGAACAGATCAACAAAACTAAAAGCTGGTTCTTTGAAAGAATAAACAAAACTGATAAACTCCATAGCCAGACTTATCAAAAAGAAAACCCAGACAGATAAAATAACAAAAGAAAAAAGAGAGATCACAGCCAACACCACAGAAATA